GGCAGAGCTGTTGTTTTATTAAGAAAATATGATGAATGATTAAAAGTTTGTACTCTCAGAAGCTCTGTATTGGAAATAGATGGATACCTTACTAAGGCAATTGTAGCCCTTTTCCCATGTGACAATTATGTAGTTCCTGGAGAAGGGAAGTGAATGAGTGTGAAATATGAGTGTTAGGCGAAAGATAACTTGAAGACTCAGCAGTTTCAGAGTCAAGGTGGTCAAAGAAAGGGGAGAAGAAGCTGGAAGACTCAGGGGCACCAAGGTACCATAAATTGGGCAGGACAAATAGACGGACCTTGGTGTTAGGAGCAAGCACCCCTTGACAGATAAGACAGCCTTGGAATAACACCGGGAAGGAGGCAGTAGGATTGCCAGATGGTTTCAACAAAAATACCGGACACACTTGACATTACATCACAACCTATATTACATCTTATTTAGAAAATACCAAACATTTATATCTTCTTATTTATATTTTCTCAATTTGTTTCCCTAACAGAAAGCTTAAATACTAGACTGTCCAGTTCAAAACAGGACACATGGCAACCCTAGAAGGCACCAACATGCTGATATCAGAAGACAAAGAAAAAACAACTTCCAGATAAACAGAACTAGCAGTGACTGAATAAGAACGGACAAGCAAAATGTATAGACCTGAATGGGAGAAAAGTTCTATAAAAGATACAGTGGCTTGCACGAATCTCTAGGTCTTGTCAAGATCGGAGCATCAGTCTGGTTGGAGAGAAGCCCCTGCTCCTTCCCCTCTCCCTTCACTCCCCTGGCCAGTGAGTTAATGTAACAAACCGGTAACTTTAAGCAATGATAATACAGGGTGTGTGGGGGTATGTGAGATACACTTTTATAAGGGGTGTTACTTAATGAAGAAAATAGATTCTCTCCGGAGTGGGAAATGATATTTTGCATTGGCAAGATCTATTCTTGTTTTCTACACCTGCGAGTAGGGCCTGAACTAACATTCTGCATCTCCATTTCAAGTTTCCTTGATCCTGCAGTCCAAAGTCAGAGCAAATTTGCCAGGAGTTTAACCTCAGTTAAGATTATGCCATATAAATATATCTTTTCCTATTGTGACTCCCTCTCTCATCCCATTACAGAGATTCAGATGTAAAGTGACCATACTAAGATGGGGAAAAAGATAGAATTTTCTTATAAAGCATGTTTGAGTGTTGTCAAAGATTTCACCATCAATAATGCTTAAAGAGTAACAAGGGATTAAATTAACCCGTAGTATGACCAACAATTCATGAAGATAATATCAGAATTATGAAACTAGAAACTCTTCCCCCATATACCATCAGTATGGAGAGAAAATAGAGCACCCAATGACTACTGTTGTCCTGCTAAGTAACTGAGCGTTTAAACTGTTGAGGTTAAAAATTCATTACAATTGCTTCACCATTAATAATCATCATGCAACCTATAGGGAGACCCGTGGTCTGATATTTTTAATAGATCAAGTACACATTGCACCTCTAAAATCTGGGATTTTCTAGTCCAGATTCAGCCGCTGTTGAAACTGACCAGCAGCAGCTGAATCGGACACGCCTCGGGCAGAGCAGCTGGGGTGCTGCTGAGTTGGTCCCGCAGCGCCACCCCTCACCCCCCTGCTTTGTGATAACTACTGCAGTCTGGGGGGGGGGGGAGCCACTCCCCTCTGGGAAACTCTAGGTGCTGGAGTGGGGCTCAAGTTCCTGAAGTTGATTGTGAAAAAATAATGTATGTTGTTGGTTTTAAATCTGCTGCCTATAAATTTCATGGGATCAGCTTCTTCTGTTATGTTAGTGAAGGAATTAATAACATTTCTTCTATTTTTTTTCATGCCATTCATGATTTTCTAGACATCTAACACATCCTCCCTCCCTTTGGGACTTTTTAGCTTGGAAAACAAATTACTAGTCTTGTTAATGTCTTTTCATATGGAATCTGTTCCTTACCCCTAATAATTTCTGTTGCCCTTTGTGTACCTTTTCCAAATCCAGTATATCTTTTTTTTTTTTTTGTAAATGGGTTGACCAGATCTGCATACACTACTCGATATGTGGTCATGCAATGATTTTATAAAGATGCAATATGGTATTTTGTCTTACTACTTATTTCTTTCCTAATGATTCCCAGAATTCAGTTTGCTTTTTAGTTTTTCAACCGCCACTGCATATTGAACAGCTGTTTTCACAGAACCTATCCGCAATGATTCCAAGATCTCTTTCTTGAATGATAACAGCTATTTTGTTTCTATAGTTAGGATTATATTCTTCCATGTGCATTACTTTGCACTTATCAACACTGAATTCCATCTGCCTTTGTGTTAGCCCATCACCCAATTTTGTGAAATCCCTTTCTAGCTCTTTGCAGTCAGCTTTAGATTAGTCCCCATTCACTCCCTTTTCAAGAATATTTCTAAATTTAAAACAGTAATCTAGTTGCAGATCCCTGCAGCACAAGACTCATTCCTATTCTTTCTTCCCCCATCTTTTTAAATAGAGTACCTGGCAATGTTGATCTAAGGATCCTTCAGTTACTTGAATGCCCAGCCTTTTGTTGTTCTTAATTACCCTGCTTCCCTTTTTTATAATAAACTCCCTACCCCAAAGGTGAAGCTCAAACTCACTTGCAATTAAGAACTACCTCCAGAGCCAAGGCATGCAGCTCTAAACAGACCTTACTATTAAATCCAGGGATTCCATCTTCAGAAGGATGCTACTATCCCCACAGCCCTTACTTAAAAACCCTGCTCAGAAGAGCACTGATTTTCACAGTACCCTGCAAGCAGGCACACCTGAAAGAAACAAATGGGTGACAGAGAATAATTCCACTGCCATGCAGGCAATCTGCCTTTGACTACCAGTTTTTCTGTAGTGTGCAATTTGGAACAAGTGCAGCTTCCTAAGGAGATGCAAAAGCACAGGGCTGCAGAGCGGGAGAGTAAATGATTCCCATGTGCTACTGCAAAACAGATTAGGAACCTGTATCATGCAAAAGCAGAGAGAAAGGAAACCTTCACCAGGACATCGGAGCTAGGAGTGGTACATAGGAAAAATTGGTAAGCTGTGTGGGAAGATGTGCTACTGTCACAATTTATGAAGCCTCTGGAGTGATTTTATGAAGTCTTCTGAGTATTTCCTTTGATGTCTCAGTAAAGTGCTTACACCTGCTAGCCCTACAGCTGAACTTAATTCTCTCTGTAGCCTCCACTGCTTGCAGGAGACCAGGGATTCTCGTTCCCTTCAGTTAGTGTAAGTGGTATCCTGTAGGAGAGAAAGGGGCTCCTTGACCACAAACTGCTTTTCTTTTCCCTCTGCCTGCACTCTCATGTTGAACCACATACCTGGGGAGCTAGGACATTGCGATCCTGTTCTCAGCCCTGCTACTGACTCACTTGGGCAAGTCACTGAGCTTCTGTGTTTGCGTTTCCCCATTTGTAAAAGAGAGATAGTAAAACAATGCACCCCTGCTAACATTCTCAAAGGAGTGGGAGCCCAAGTACAAATGAATAGGTACACAAGGCTAATCCAAAAGTCAGCTTAGCGCTGTATGCCTCTACCCAGATACCTTGTCAATAGTAATTCCCGTCTATGGATAACTAGAAGATTTACTCAGCGTTGTGTCCTTAACTCCATTAATTTCTGTGTTCTGGAAAATAAAATGAAACTGTCCATGCTTCATTTAGATATTGCTCTGGGGCGGGGCTGGGGATGAGCTACCCCAAACTCTCCCTCACTGCAGCAATTTGGTGCCAAGTGAGAAGCACTTCTCCATTGCCACAGTAGCTCCCGCAGGCACAGCTAGGTGAAGGGTTCATGTTTCCCAGCTGCGGGAGGTCCATGTTTGTTACCCCTGCACTCCCCAGCCAGAGGCATACAGACCAAATTTTTCAAAGACATACTAAATGCTTCATAGCCTGCTAGCAAATGTCAGTAGGGCTCTGTGGACACTGGGACCCATCTGTGCAGAACCAGTTGCAAGATTAGGGCCTAAAACACTTTGCCTTAAAATTTTTCCTTCTAAGTAGAAGTGTCTCCCCTACGTAACTTGTGAGGATAATATTTGCAGTGTTTGAGATTTCAGACGGTGTAACGTGTCTTTCAAAAGTTAAATTGAC